AGTGAACATTACATGAACCATTCATGTCCCATACTTCCACAGGCACACCACACTTTTAAATCATCATACATTCCCAAAATGCAAACTAACTTCAAAGCATCCCCAGATATCCAGGGGACAAAAACACACAAATTGCACAAGATGACATTTAGCAACCAACAAACAAAGGTGCATTCAAACCAAACCCCAAAGAGTTAAGTTTCTACAAGGCTCAGTGAAGTAGCAGAGAGTCGGTCTTCATCTCTCTCTTTCTCACTTATGAACACTACTGATTGTCTCTGTGTCTTTTTGCTAAACACAATCTGCAGAATGGACTGGGCTGGACACAGCGGGCAATTCCACAGTCCTTCTCTGCCATTCTTCCAGATTCCCTGCTGACTATATCTGCTGCTTCTATTTATTATTACTATTTTTTGCCCAAGGATTTTCAACCTCTTATTGGTCTTTACTTCTCACATGCCTTTCGTGCTCAGGGTACCCTGCCTCACTCTTTTTATCTGCGTCCTGTAGCGTCCAACACTCCCGGTGTCTCTTTAACCCGCGTAATAGGACGGCACAAATTGTTTGCGACAGACTCCATGGATGTAGAGAGGAGATATTAGGCCCTCATGTAACTACGTAATGTCTGAAATACTATCGTGTAAAATTGTATATTCTGGTAGAGAAGACAGCAACATGTTTCTTAAAATATTCTGGAGTAAAGATGCATTGTAATCCGTATAAAGCATTGAACAGTGGGAGGTGAGGAGATTTATCTGGAATGTGAAGCTAGATGCTTAGTATAAATCTACTTCTGTTCCCCATTTTTGTATTTCTAATGTTTTTGCATTTTTCAAAACTTATATTTCTTTTACAGTTTGAAGTCAAGCCTTCACAAGTTGAGAAATGGAAAGCAATGATGACAAATTTGTCATTTTGGAGAAAGGTGTCACTATAATGGATGTCATTGATCAGAAGATCAAAGAGCAAATGCTTATGGTGAGTGTTGATACAATGGTAATTCCTGGCAGTCAAGTAATAGATTTCATTGCTGGACATAATCAGAAAGTTGATCGTATTCTTTTAACTGTATAGAGACATCTGAAATTCTGGTGATATAGACTTGATATTAACCTGACAATATCTGTAAATTGAATCATATTCTTCAATGTTTGTAATTACAGAGATTTGCACCAAGTTGATAACAAGGTAAATATAGAGAAAGTAAATGATTTTCTACACACAGTATCAGCACTTTTTCAAAGTAATTCATTTCATTAGTTCAATATAACCAAAAAGCTGTTCAAAAAATTCTGGACCTTTCTGAACAGTGGTCCAATCAACCTGACAATTTGTGTTATGTCTTATGGTAGAAGGTTGAAATAGTCACACTGTTAGACACAAATATTGAAGCTGATATCAAGTGTATTTCTCCAGAAGTCTCCATGTGTTTGGAACAGTGCAAGTTTGGTACACTGACTGCTCGTCTTGATTTGGCATTCTGGAGATTGTATCTTTATATCCACATAACAGTATAGCTCCTGACTCTTTTTATAACATCCCTTTTCCTGTTAAAAATGTAATGCCTACATATATCAGTATAACGACTGCATTCAATAACTTACAGTATTGTGCTTTACATTTAAATTAAAGGAACTTGAACTATAGTGGCTCACTGGGTCACTTTCCTGCCTCTGAGCCAGAAGTCTTCAGACTGAAGTCTGAGTCCAGGACTGGTTGGCTGGGACAGAGCCCAAAGTGAGCGCAGGCAAACCACTGTGTATCAGTACTAGTCCACGTATAAATGGGGATGGGTGGCAGCAAGAAGTTCATCCAGCTTAAAAACAAACCTCTAAATCCAAAAATGACGGTTGACATGGAAATGACTATTCATGAATTGTGGTGGTCCATATGGCATTTGAAAAGAGGAGTGAGCCTGAACTAACCAAAAAAAATTAAGAACTAACTTTTTACAATCAAACTGCACCCCGAACAAGATGATATTTATTGAGAATAATCAATGTCAATAATTCCAAGCTATAAAAGAAATCCTGGCCTGAATATCCTGGAAGAGAGCAAAGTTGACTTTTTGAGTCCAGTGACTTTTCATCAGAAGCTTTCTTCCTACAGATGCTGCCAGATCTGCTGAGTTTCTCCAGAAATTTCTGTTTTTGTTCAAAATAAATTAAGTAGTCAGTTGTTGTGAAGATAGAATCAGTGAGCTCTGGAAAAGCTGGGACCTGCCAAGTGCCATAGAGGCCCCCGCAGTTCCTGAAACAGTCTGTTGGGATAGAAACAAAGGGCAGTGTTACCCTTAGGGTGACTGGATAGGGGTTGCCACCTTGTCCAACATCTGGCAGAGACATGGATCATCCATGAGCTGTCACTCACCTGGTGGTAGCTGCATTGAAGCTATCCTTTGACTTGGTGACTCTTGTTCTGCTCCTGCTCTCACTGCATACTGTACAGCAGCGAATGGCAGCAGTTACTGTTCTCGTAGGATAATAACTCAATAGGGAAACTGGCTTATTGTTTCCTGCCTTCTGTTTCCCTTCTTTCCTGAATAGGTGTGTTACATTTATACCTTACCAGTCCACAGGTACCTTTCCAGAATCAAGGGAATTTTGGAAAATTATAACCAAACCATCCACTATCTCTCTAGCCACATTATGACCCAAGGAAGCAAGCCATCGGGTCCAGGAGAAATATCTGCCTTCGGTCTCTCAGCTTATCTCACATTTTTTCTCAGGTGATAATTATTATTTTCAGTTCCTTCCTTCCTTTTCCCTCATCATTTTCTACAATTGTTGGAATGCGTTCAGTATCTTCCTTTGCAAAATCAGACAAAATATTTTTCATAATTCACTACCCTTTCTTTGTTTCCTACTGTTAACTCCCCACTCCTAAGTGTCTAATATTTACTTTAGCTACACTCTTTCTATCTATATTCTAATGAAACGCTGTTTGACCCTCTCTTTTGCTATAATGCTTATACCATCAATAACAGAGCCACAGCAGTCAACATTACTTTTAGTTCAGGGCAGCTGTTCAATCTTTGCAGGTCTCCTCAAGGTAGCAGAGGCAGCAAAGACAGAGATTCTCATTGCAGATTACTGTCCCCGAGCTATTTATAACAAAGAAGACATCCAGACTATGTCAAACAGATTCACAAAGGCTTTCAAAAGCATCAAGTTCTAAATCAATGTCTCCAAGGCTGATGTTATGTTTCAGACAGCACCAAACACAGGTTATGAAACATCAGAAATAACCATTAATGGCACCGATCTCAGGTAGTAGAAATACTCTCATACCTTGACAGTATGCACACTCGGGATGCCACTATTAAAGAGGATATCAGGACATGCATCCAGAAACCAAATGGTGCCCTAACCCCCTCCATAACCATGTCCAGAAACAGTCTTCAACCAGAAGTGCCGTGGGGATGATCCATCTCAACCTCCTCCATGGTCCCCAGCATCACAGATAGTCATATTCAGGAAATGCAATTCACCCTATATGTTGTCAAGAAATGGTTGGAGGCACTGGATACTACAAAGGCAATGGGCCTGGACAGCATTCCAGTAACTGTCCCGTAAACATGCACTCCAGCACTTGCTGTTCCCCTTGTCAAGCTGTCCAATATAGCTACAACACTGGCATCTACCTGACAATGTTCAAAATTCCCCAGGTATGTCCTGTACGCAAAAAGCAGGACAAGTCGAACCCAGCCAGTTACTGCACCATCAGTTTACTGTCGATCATCACCAAAATGATAGAAGTGTCATCCACAGTGCTATCAAGCAGCGCTTGCCCAGTGGTAACCTGCTCAGCGGTACTTAGTTTGGGTTTTGCCAGGGCCAGTCAGCTCCTGACCTCATCATAGACTTGGTTTAAACATGGGCAAAAGAGCTGGATTCCAGAGGTGAGGTGAGAGTGACAGCCCTTGACATCATGGCTACATTTTACTGAGCATGACATCAAGGAGCCCGAGCAAAGCTAGAATCAATGGATATCAGGGGAAAACTCTCCGATGGCACACACAGAGATGATTGTAGTTGTTGAAGGTCAGTCTCCTCAACTCAAAGACATCTCTGTAGGGGTACCTCAGGATTGTGTCCGAAGCCCAACCATCTTCAGTTGTATCATCAATTACCTTCTCTCCATCATAATGTCAGAACTGGGAATGTTCACCGTTTATTCCACAATGTTCAGCACCATTTGCGACTCCTCAGATACTGAAGCAGTTGGTGGTCAAATGCAACAAGATCTGGACAGTATCCTGGCTCTGGTTGAAAAATAGCAAGTTACATTCACACCACACAAATGCCAGACAATGGCCATCTCCAATAAGAGACAATCTAACCACCACTCCTTGGCTTTCAATGGTGTTACCATCACTGAATACCCAATGATCAACACTCTGAGAGTTGTCATTGACCAGAAAATAACTGGACTTGCCATATAAACACAATGGCTACAAGAGCAGGTCAGAGTGTAGGAATACTGTCGTGAGTAACTCATGTTCTGACTCCCCAAAGCCTGTGCACCAGCTGCAAGACACAAGTCAGGAGTGTGATGGAATTGTCCCCACTTTCTGACAATACTGAAGAAGCTTGACACCATCCAGGGCAAAGCAGTCTGCTTGATTGAGAGCACATCCACAAGCATTCTCTTCCTCCACCACCAGCGCTCAGTAGCAGCAGGGTGTATTATCTACAAGATGCACCATGGAATGCACCAAAGATTCTGAGACAGTACCTTCCAAATCCATGTCCGCTTCCATCTAATGGATGAGGGAGCAGATACATAGTAACACCACTACATGCAGGATTCCCTTCAATCCAATCATCATCCTGAATTGGAAAGATATTGCTGTTCCTTCACTGTCACAGTGTCAAAATCATGGAATTCCCATTATAGGTCAACATACAACTCACAGACTGCAGCTGTTTGAGAAGGCAGCTCACCATCACCTTCTCAAGGGCAACTAGGACAATAAACGCTGGCCAGTCAGCGATGCCCATGTCCCACAAGTGAATAAAAAAAAGTAAGGCATTCAGTCTTAGGGTAATTCATGGCAAACAAGGAGGCCAATCATCATATTGAATCCTTGGCAACTCTACATGGAGAAATCCAGTCAGTCCCACTCTGCTGTTCAATCCCCATTGTCTGCACATTTACTTCTTTCAAGTGCCTATCAAATTTCCTCTTCAAATCTTTGATTTTCTTCTGCAGGTACCAGCCCTGTGTGCAGTAGGTTCAAGATTATTACTGCCATGTGTAAGATGTTCTTCACATTTCACCTGCATCTCTCATCCAAAAAACAGTGGAGAGCTTTCCCTTTGATTCCCATTTACACCAGTTTTGACAGTGTGTCAACAAGGAATCTTAGCAAAAATGAAGGAAACAAAAATCAGGTGGAAAGATGGTTGTGGTTGTTGGAGGTCAGTCATCTCAGCTCCAGGACATCTCTGCAGGTGTTCTTCAGGGCAGTGCCCACAGCCAAACCATCTTCAGGTGCGTCGCTGATGTCTTTCATAAGGTCAAAAATGGGGATGCTTGCCCAATGATGGCACAATGTTCATCAGCAACCAAAACTCCTCAGATATAGGCAATCCATGTCCATATGTGACAAGACCTGGATATTCTTTGACATTTTATGAGGGATTCAGCAAACGACATGCCATTATCAATGTCCTGGCGGTTATATTCACCAGGAAATGAACTAGATGGTTGTATAAATACTATGTTGACAACAGCAGTTAAAAAGATGAAAATTCTGTAGAATACTCTTCATTTGCCTGTGTTAGTGTAGCTCCAACAATACTGAAGAAACTAGAGAATTTCCAGGACAAACAGGGTGAGTAAAATGGAGAGGAGTGTATTCTGACTGTAAGTGCCACTTTGAAGGATTGCGCCCTCAGTCTTTCTACTATGCAGATTTGATCACAGACTGTGCCTCATTTAGAGTTCCAAATGACAACTTTGCAAGCCTGTCATTGTCAACATGGCAATTCAAATCAGCCATTTCAGAACATCAGAAAGTGAGTAATTGATAAAGTGCAACCCAGAACAGCTCAGATTAAGCTTAGCACCTTTCCAACCTTTGGTCGAGTTCCTCAGTGAGCAGCAAATATACAAGCTAAGCAGCTAAGCCCTGGAAAGAATATCTGGAATTATTTTAATAATACTGTAGAAATGCTGAATTGAATCACTTTCTCATTATATGCTCGATACTTTGCATTGAAATTATGATGAGCGACTATTAGACAACACAAGAACACAAATTAAGTATGTGTATAATATCGAGCTGAATGCAGTATCTGTTAATACAGGAGAACACAGATGCTTTTTCTGTTGCTGATCTGGGTGATCTTGTACATCAGCATCTCCTATGGCAGAGGACACTGCCCCGAGTGAAACCTTTCTACGCTGTGAAATGTAACAGTAGCAAACTAGTGGCTCAGATTCTTGCTCAAATGGGACTCGGCTTTGACTGTGCCAGTAAGGTAGGATTGGGTACAAAACTATCAGAAACCTCTAGAAATGTGTGTCTGTTAACTGCATTATTTTAACATATCATAAACTTTCCAATACTATACAAATGACATTGACAGAATTATGTCTGTGCATTTATTTAAGAAAATGTTATCACTTTTACACCTCCACCTTGTCAAACCCAGTTTCATCTCAAGAATTGATTTCCTTCATGCTCTTCTTGTGAGAGGTTACACTTCACAAATTCAATCACATATTCAGAGTTCGATCAGTTCATGTCTTCTGCAGAAAAACTGGCTAGCTGTGCTGAGTGAATGGAACTTAAGTCATCCTTCTCATTGTCAAATCCCTCTTATGGCCTTGCTGTATTCTGATCTCAATGATTTCTAACAGTACAACCCCAGAAGCATGGTCTATGGTTCATTACAATTCACTGCCTGGTTCCATCCATTTTTTGCTCCACTCCTGGTGGATATCCCTTACTGCTAGATTTCGTCCCTAATTCGTGAGCCTTAGGAGCACCTTCCCTACCTGTAAACACCTTCCCTTTTGAACTAATGACCAATGGCCTCAATTCTTCCTTCACATATCTGTGATAGTACACTGTTTTCTTCAGGTTCAGTGTCATATTTTCTTGTTAAATGTTAAGAGCTCTCGACAGGTATCTCTTGTTGAACAATTTGCACCGGTGAGCCAACAGGAAGATTGAAAGTGTCAAAGAAGCAATGGGGTCAGATTATTCCATTGTCATTCCATTACCAGTCAAGGGAATGGGCCACAGTCAGGTATCCAGATGGTTTTATCCATCCACAGAAAATAAGAGGAAAGAGTGGATGGTGGAGGGGCTAAATTTTTCTCATGGTATTGAACTCAGCAGGTTTCTTTTTGGCACTAGGACCTTTATGCTTTGGGAAAGGGCACAGTAATGTACTGATTCTAACAAGGTCATCCAGGTGCACTTACAGAATACGAGTTCCCTGATTGGGGCTTTCAACAGGGTCCAATCAATGAGCCCTGGCTGACACATATAAACAGGGGTGTCAGGGGTTCTGCTCGCTCCAGGAGCCAGCTCTGTGCTCGCTGGACCAGTGTCAAGTACTATGCACGTGTAAATAAAGGGTGACTTGGTGACAGAATATTGGCCACTGTGGAGTTATTTCACTAGTAATCGGAAGAAAATCACGCCCCTGAAGAGATGAGCTCGCAACAGTCATCTTTGAGTTGGGGTAAGCATGTCTAGCATCATGCCACTACTTGGGAAGCTTCATTTGTTTGATCCCGTTGTTGAAGATTGAGCTTAGTATATGGAAAGAATGCTTTATTTTTCCCGGGCAAATGACACTGGGGAGATGAAGAGGAACAAGTAATTCTCACTCTTTCAGTTGTTAGGGGTCTAACGTTTCCTGAGGCATTGATTACTAAAATCTTTCAAGATATGGTGGATTTAGTTAAGTAATATTGCGATCCCAAGCCACCACTAATTCTGTGACACTATCAGTTTT